TACAACTAAGTCTCCTTGCCCCAACTGCACAGTACAGCACATTACACCCTGATGGAATTCTTTGCTCACTTACCTTAATTATGCTTGCTTGACAGCAGTTGTGGACTCCCTTTTCTAGGCTCAGTCCAACCCTAAGCTGGACTAAGTCTAGCACCTCTATCAATTAAAAGAATGTGGAGATAAATTAGTGTTTAAGTGGAGCTAAACTCCAGAATATACTCACCTCAACCTTCTAGGGATGAAGTGGTTAGATACCTAAGTGCCAGGTTTTCAGCCTTTTGATTGGCCGTGTGCAAGATGACATCACTCTAGCACAGTTATAGTGTGCCAAGAATGCATACTAAGCTCCATACATGTATTTAATTGTATAGTCAATAGAAAGCTGCAAGCAGGCAGGTAAGTATGGGGCATGGGGCTAAGGACTCAGTTTGTATCACGTAGTCATTTGAACAAGAGGAGGAACAGAAAAGAAAGGATCAAACAGCCTTGTTTCACAATGCAGATGATTAACCCCTTAGGTTCCAGTGAGTATAACAAGCATGATTTACTGCATATACAAACTGATTTTACTGTTGTGGGTTTAGTAACATTTTAAATACACTTGACAAATGCAACATCAGTTAGGACATAAGTAGTTATCTGCACCCGTTGTGTGGTTATTTTAGGTTGACAAATACTATTACTCTGTTCCTATAAAGATAAGGCCAGTTCTATTATAGGTACATTTAACTGCCAACATTTCTAGTAAGAAGTACTTTTCAATGCCCACATGTGCTGCTTGGCTTGCTACATTTACATAACGTTCTTATATTTGAGTTAAAATTCAGAGCTACATACTTATCACACAATTTTGCTTTCCCCTAATGTAGAGTAGGAATTATTATCTTACTGTTTAAAGGACATAACAGGAAACCACTCAGCTGACAGAGATAGCCTTGCCAAGAAAGGATGCGACACTTAGCATCCTAATTAAGGTCTGTTACATTTGTAATATACAATGTCCTACCACAGCGTAGGAACTTTCTTTCCCTAAAAATGCTAATAATACTAAACCGTAGCTCATGACATTCCAGTGTTTACAATAGTCAAAGATCTATCATATTTTAATTTTATAGATTTGATCACTTATGCAGGTTTGGAAAAATCGAACTGTTATCTCATTTACAGTGCATAACCCCAACCAATAATCCATTTCCTTTTACAGTCTATCATTTGTACCCTTCAAAGAGGCTATTATAATGCATGTATCTTATTGTTATCATCTGCCTTGAGAATCTTGCTCGTCATTACAGACACAAAGCAAAAGACGTATGCAGTGAACTGTAACCACCAATCAGGTGTTTGCTGTGCTTAGTCTTGATTGGTTGCAATGATTTTTTACTATTACAGAAATCTTACATTAAGACCAAGGGAGCCAACAATAATGAACAGGTTGATGAGCTCAGAAATGTAAAATAATGTATATTGTGATCATTACTTACCAGTTCACGATGTGAAATATATAAATATAATAACATAGCCAAAATATACCATGGCGTGACATCACAAGCCTATATATACCCTTAGCAATATGTGTTAAATCTAATGACACTGCTTGTCTCATGCCTTTTATCAGGTATACACATCCATAGGCTGCACAAGAAATGCAGTAGGTAGCAGTGAGTCACAGTCGCCCACATCCTGTTGTTACATCCTGTTGAACAGCGTAACAACACTTTGCTGAATTTACAAGGCCAATAATTGTTGTCAGTTACATTCAGTGTGGGAGCTGAGACAAAGTGCTGCTAAGCAGCAAGTCTAAGAGCTTTGTACTCTTTCTCTATTACTGAACCGAAGGCCAACCAAGCTATGAATGAGTGGGAAATGGATTTTTGATTATCAGCACTGAAAAAAAAATTAATTGAGTAAGAGCACTGCTTTGGAAAAAATAATATTAATAATTAGCAAGAGAAAGCTCCTTTTATATTAAGTCTATAAATGTACCTTTCAGTAGGGTGACCTTCACTAACATAAATGCAGCTTGCACATCTGTGAATACTCCGGTATGAATTTTATAATATGCCTTGTTGCTGTAAAAGTCAATATATAAAGTTGCGGAAATTCTGTGGACCAGCAAATTTGCCAGTATGCAATTACTGGTGTTTATTACCAAACACAGAGATCATTGTACTCCCTGACCAGGATAAAACCATGTTTATTATGGTCAGCATCCACTTCCTGAACTAAGGTTCTGGCTCAGAGATGAGACAACCTGGTGCCTGGACAGTACTTAGCTGAGTTCACCAATCTTTGACACAACTCAAATTAAACCTTGCCAAAACCGAGCTCCTAGTTTTTCCCCCCAGCCCGCGCCCCCCCCCCTGGCCTCTTCATCACGACCAACACTGCCATCAGCCCCACCCCGCATACCAGAGTACTAGGTGTCATTCTAGACTCCAATCTGTCTTTCCAGCCCTAGATCCAATCGCTGACAAATTCATGCAGACTTCACCTCCGCAACATCTCCAAAATACGCACGTTCCTAACTCCAGAAACTACAAAGCAACTCATTCACTCCCTTATCATATCACGACTTGACTACTGTAACTCCCTCCTCGCCGGCCTACCCCAACACAGGCTATCCCCGCTTCAGTCTATCCTGAATTTTGCGGCCAGTCTCATCCACTTTACCAACCGCTCCGTATCCGCCACCCCCCTCTGCCAATCCCTCCACTGGCTTCCGATTGCCCAACGCATTAAAATCAAAATACTAACATTGACGTACAAAGCTGTTCATAACACTGCCCCAAACTACATCACCGACCTGATATCCATCTACCACCCAAAACGCACTCTCCGCTCCTCACAAGACCTCCTACTCTCCAGTTCCCTGGTCTCCTCCTCCTATGCCCATCTCCAGGACTTCTCCAGGGCATCCCCCGTCCTCTGGAACTCACTACCCCAATCCATCAGACTGTCACCTACCCTCCTCACCTTTAGGCACACCCTGAAAACCCATCTCTTCAGAGAAGCCTACCCCGCCCTCACCTAACTGCTGATCTCCTCCGCTCTCCCCACCACTCCATCCCCCACAGCTATTTCCTCCTCTACCACTCTCCCCTCCCTCCTAGATTGTAAGCTCCAAGGAGCAGGGCCCTCGAACCCCTCGTGTATTTTATTGTATTGTTTCTGTACTGTCTCATGTATTGTCTCCCATTGTAATGAACAGCGCTGAGCAAACTGTTGGAGCTATATAAATACTGTGTAATAATAATAATAACTCAGGATCTGTCCTCTGCTGCCGTTTCTCATCAATGGCTTGGGAAAAGCACTTAGGACAGGAGTTCAGATTTTCAAGAACACATTGGGAGCACACTGGATCCAGGTCAGTGGCTCACTAGGTAGTGAAGCCATGGTGAGAATAACAGTTGAGGAGTTTGCACCCAAAAAATGATTTGGTATTCAGCACTGTATGAAGTTTTAGAAAAGGCTTATATGACTATATCAACATTTACTGTGTTAGCAATACTTAATTGATCATTAATGATACATTTCTCCCAGTGTTATTTTCAGGTCAGTATTAATATATTTTTTTTTTGTTATTCAAACTACTACTTTCTAGTCTTTTGTCTGCTGGAACATGGTCCTTGAAAAATATTCATACACTCTACAGCTGCTAGGTTATCAAACAACTAATCTTTTATTGGACAGATTCATTATTTTGGGATTGCTTTCAATATTAAGTCACGAGTAAAAAAAAAAAAATGAAATATCCTCACTCTCAAATGTTCAAATTCATTTATAAAAAATCTTGAACAAGTTAAATTAGAATGGTATAATACATGACTGTCAAACGTGCATGTCTAATACAAACATATGCCCCATGCCTGGTATCATTTTATATTGTTAAAGAGTGAAACAAAGTAATGTATTTGAACATTCACACATAATTTGATGGATGTCTTCAGTAATTAATCATAATCTGTTGTCTTTTCGACATGAGCATTTTTCACATTAATGTTGGAGGCTGATTGATTTTTGTATTAAAATAAGCAATGTATCAGCCCATGATTTTTTTCATAGCCTAAATAAATCACAGATCACAAATGATCCCATGTTTTTATTTTATGAAACTCTTTCCTTCATGAATGTGCAGTGTGGGGTTTAATTATGTTCAGTTATGGGACAGACTAATAGTGTGTTCATGGAGGAATTTCATATTATTGTTTTTAAAAGGGCCATTTTGTCACAGCATTTCTTGTTAGTACTGTCCATTCAGTCTCTGCAATGGCAGATTCCTGCTGTAGTAATCATTGCTGACTGATTACATACAGCAATAGATCAGTATTAGAAGTGATCTGCTGTTTCACAGATGCATGGGGTTGTAATAAACATGAAAAGAATACAAATACATTATAGTGTGTATATATATATATATATATATTGGCAAACGTATTGGGACGCCTGCCTTTACATGCACATGAACTTTAATGGCATCCCAGTCTTACTCTTAGGGTTCAGTATTGAGTTGGCCCACCCTTTGCAGCTATAACAGCTTCAACTCTTCTGGGAAGGCTGTCCATAAGGTTTAGGAGTGTGTCTATGAGAATGTTCTTCTTCCAGAAGTGCATTTGTGAGGTCAGAGACTGATATCGGATGAGAAGGCCTGGCTCGCAGTTCATCCCAAAGGTATTTTATGGGGTTGAGGTCAGGACTCTGTGCAGGCCAGTCAAGTTCCTCCACCCCAAACTCGCTCATCCATGTCTTTATGGACCTTGCTTTGTGCACTGGTGCGCAGTCATGTTGGAACAGGTAGGAGCCATCCCAAAACTGTTCCCACAAAGTTGGGAGCATGGAATCGTCCAAAATGTCTTGGTATGCTGACACCTTAAGTCAGGAATCTCCACACTTTTGAGACAAAGGACCAGTTTACTGCCCTTCAAACTTTAGGGTGCCGAATTGTGGCCAGTGGGAGTAGAAAATGCCCTGGCATCAGTGGGAGTAAACAATACCCTAGGCTTGGTGATCAGTGGGAGGAACAGTGCCCCATTGTTTATGTCAGTGGGATTATTAGTTCCCCTTTTCTAGTATCAGTGGGAAGAACAATGCCCAGCCACTGGTGTCAATGGGAGGGACAGTGCACCATCGCTGGTGTCAGTGGGGGGAACAGTGCCCCGTCACTGGTGTCAGTGAGAGGAACAGTGCACCATCACTGTTGTCAGTGGAAGGAACAGTGCCCTGTCATTGGGATCAGTGGGGGGGAATAGTGCCCCATCATTGGGGTCAGTGGGAGGAATAGTGCCCCGTCGTTGGGGTCATTGGGAGGAACAGTGCCCCATGGTGTCAGTAGGAGGAATAGGGTCCAATAGTTGGTGTCAGTGGGAGGAATAGTGCCCCGTCATTGGTGTCAGATGGAGGAATAGTTAGCAATCGTTGGTGTCAGTGTATTAATGGAAGGAAAAGTGCTCCAAGGGCTGGATAAAAGCAAGCAAAGGGCCACAGTTTGGAGACCCCTGCCTTAAGTGCCCCCTTCACTGGAACTAAAGGGACAAGCCCAACCCCTGAAAAATGACCCCACACCATAATCCCCCCTCCACCAAACATTACACTTGGCACAATGCAGTCACGCAAGTACCATTCTCCTGGCAACCCCTAAACACAGACACATCCATCGGATTGCCAGACAGAGAAGCGTGATTCGTCACTCCAGAGAACACGTCTCCACTGCTCTAGAGTGCAGTGGCGGGGTGCTTTACACCACTGCATCCAACACTTTGCATTGCACATGGTGATGTAAGGCATGGAAACCCATTCCATGAAGCTCTCTACACACTGTTGTTGTGCTAATCTGAAGGCCACATGAACTTTGGAGGTCTTTAGCTATGGCCTCTGCAGACAGTTGGCGACTTCTGCACACTGTGAGATTCAGCATGCGCTGCCCCGCTCTATCATTTTATGCGGCCTACCACTTCGTGGCTGAGTTTCTGTTGTTCCCAGTTGCTTCTACATTGTTATAATACCATTAACAGTTGACTGATATTTAGTAGCAATGAAATTTCATGGATGGACTTATTTCACAGGTGGCAATCTATCACGATACCACGCTTGAATTCACTGGAAGCAACCCATTCTTTCACAAATGTTTGTAGAAGCAGTCTGCATGCCTAGGTGCTTAATTTTATACAATACATAAATATTATTAATGATCAGTTAGGAGAATCAGCAGCACCACCACTAAAGCTAGACCTATTCAAAACATTCACATTATTGTACTACCCTGTAGTAGATCATTTTTCCTACAACATTCTCTTTTTATTTCTACATTTTGAGCAGCATAGACACCATTATTACCAGATCCCACCAACACAAGTAGGATGACACCACTTTAACTGATAGAGTTAAGAAATACACTAGTGTTGCATTTCTTAGCCTGCTGATTCAGCCATAAAGTAGCATCAGCACACTGCTAAGCTGGAAATACTTTCACCAAGGATTAAAATGCTCAGAATTCTTATTTCTTCCCCCACAGCATTGTTATAATTATAGTTATATACTGCATTAGAATCCATTTAATTGGTTTTAATTCAGATTTATTCTTTTCCAGTGCCTGTTTTGTATCTGTGTGAGAATAAGGGCTATTTGTCAACCAAGTGAAAAATCCCAATCTTCATTGAATTTCTAGTCAAAATAGCCTAGTTAACTGACACTGCTAGATTTGTTTGGAAATTTAAGCTTTAATTATCTCTGGTCACGAAAAAGTTGATAATGAGGCCAGTAGTGTAAGTTTACTATAGGGTTGTGACTTTATTTTCTGTATTGGTGTACATTGTTTTTGCCTGTTGTTGTTTCATTAATGGCAAGAACATGGCTAGAAATACATTTTTTGTCTCTTACTCCCGTTAGAGCAAGAACTGAAGTGGAAAGAATATAATGTTATAAAGTCTCTGGCTACAAACACATTATATTTATAATAAACCAGAATTATTATTATTATCTAGCAATGATCATATTAAGAATTACCTTACAAGACTCATATCTCCTTTACTTTACTTTATATCTCCCTGTTCCTTATTTATATTCCAGTTTATTATTGTAGATCAGTTTTTATTTAAAATGAAGGCGTAAACATTATTTACTACAAATAATAATGAAATTCTCTCAGTCCCCCTAAGTACACATGCTCTAGAAGTTTTTTATTCAAGACTGTGTGCGTTTATTCAAGACTGTATACTAAAGATTTGATCAAACAACAAACATAATACATATATAAGGATGAAGGATGAATAAGGAAAAGTAAATAAAATAAAAAAAAACCCAGTTATTGTTTTAATAAAACCTTTCAGATTGTTGTATGTAGTCTATTTAGTTATCTGTTTACAGATGTCTTGTACCCCAACCCCTGCTGGGAAAGAAAGACATTTGAGTGCATTGATTGCAAGTTAAAATTCCACGACATGCTTTGTTACTAAATGAATGTTCTAAATACTGCTCTTATAGCATTTACTCATGACCAGAACAAAATGAATCTTGCAGACATTCCTACTCTTGCAAAATCTTCATAAGAAATATGCCCCAGCTGTTTCCCAGCATACTGTAAATGGCTCGCTGAAACAAACTGAATGTGATTCTGAATGAAAGCTGATGCTGGAAATGGCATTGTGTTAAGACAGGTATTGATTGACACATTTTATAGATCAGTGACTCTGGCTGTGAATACCAGCTTGTAAGAAAAGAAATGTCTTAGATAATGGTATAAGGGCTGCGCACCAAGCAGTTGTCATATCTTGGTCCAAGTGGCAAAGATGATCTTTGATCGATGCACTCTGACCTTTGACTTGATAGCATTTTCTACGTCAATGTATAGGTGCAATTCATGAATATTAAGCCTATTCATTGTGTTAGAAAGCATTGTTTACAACTGTTCACAGTTGTGCTCATTAACGCACACCAAAACTCTCACACTGACTACAGCCTGTTATAAATAGGGCAATGTCCACCAGGGATGCAATTCTTCCAAGCCTGCTAAACATAATGAGATTGTCAATAGGTTAACAGGTCAGCATCAGCAAGTATGGGCTCAAAGACAGTTCCTGCATTAGTCAAAACATTTTAAGCATACTTTAGATCAGTTTTTTCAACCTTTTTACCCTGGAGGAGCCCTTGATCAAAAGATTAAGATCATATATCAATCTGCCTGGGGGTACTCAGCATTACAGGCAAGCAGGGCAATGAAGCCACTATTGAGTGGATATAAATTTGCAGTGGATTGTGTTGGATCCTCTAGGAACTTCTCATGGAACCCTAGTTGAGAAATCCTTTATTTCTCCATAGAAAAAATAGATTCTTCCATCATGCATGCCTAAAATTTGCAGGGGCCAAGGAAAGTATGCATATGTCCCATACCTATCATGTATATGCAAATAATGAACTTATTGAGGCCCCTTTGGTCTGATAAAGATACCATTGAAAGTTTTTTTGTTATATCTGTTTAATAAGTGCAGCAAATACTATTTATAGAGGGGTAGGCGTTCTATAGTCCTAGTCCTGTAAAACCTACAGGTATAGTAAGTATTGTTACTCAGTTACAGATAGTAGGTTATTAGGAGAATCACCCACCATGTCTAAGGACTAGGTAAGCTACAGTATATTACATTTTGTTCCTGTGTTAAGATATACAGTAGGGAAGTCCCTGAATTGAATTGGGTATGTGCAAACTATGGCTTTATGCTTAGGTGCCTTCAGAAAAAGCTTAATATGCTGCAACCTGCCTGACACAGGCTTTTCTCCACATTATCCTTTTATACATTTTAAATTTTGTACAGGGTGTCCCTAAATTCTGGACACATAGGCAACGTGATATTTCCTATGTGTCCAGATGTTAGGGACATCCTATAGACTAGAGTATGAGCATCAAACAAGTAAATACAACCCCATACAGGCCAGACAGTTGCAAATAGTATTTGCTGCTCAACGATTATCTTTTAATAAAAATAACCTTTCACTGAACTGTTTACTGTAGAAATCTGCATGAATGCTTTTGTTAATCTCAAGTTAGAACATTGAGGGGTAGATTTTCTAAAACTGGTGCACTCAGAATATGGAGCAGTTGTGCATGGTAGCCAATCAGCAAACTTCAGCTTGTTCGACAAACCTTTGGCAATAAAACCTGGAAACCCATTGGTCCCTATGCCGAGTTGCACCAGATTTTGGACTTTCTTGTTTTAGTAAATAACCCCCTGGATGTCAAACTTTAGAATTTTTTTTACCAATAAGAGTGTGACATTGGTTTAGTAACTACATAATAACATTATTGTGATGTCACAATAGCATTCTATAGGACAACATCCAGTCCCAGTGAGTTAAATGGATAATAAAAGGTTGCCGAGTATTTCACAAATAACTTGATTAGTAAAAAGGACTGTTTACAGCAATGGATACCTTTATTGAAGCAACAGTAATGTAAAACATAGATGTTGCAGCACTTGAGCTTTCAAGGCCAGACAACCAATAAACTAGTAGAGAACCCTTGATTACAATCAATACCAGCTCGTTTTGTGTTTTGATTCTGGAGTGAATGTATTTCTTAATGCAATTATTCGGCCAGCACACATTCAAGGTTATGATCTTTTTTAGCAATTTTAAATGAATCACTATTTTGTGCCCCATAATTTTGTTCTACTATAAAGATTACATTTTATGCAGCAACAAATTTACTTTATGCAGAGTGTGCAACAGATAACAATAGTTATATTAGCCTTCCTGCTTCTGTAATCAAAAATAATAGAGATTTTTTTTTTTCCCTCTGTCTACATAGGTTTTCTGAGGTGAGCTTTGTCTGGATCTAATATTACTTCCATCAATTAAAAAAAATAATAACAGTAAGAAACCTTGACAATAGTTATTTAAGGTCTCTTAAACTTGTTTTTTATGTACTTTTATTAGGATATGGCAGGTGAAAGGTGCCAGAGTGAACTGCCTGGCAAACCTAGCCATTGGTGACCATTGTGAAAACAATGCATGCATGTCTGGGTGCATGGAATGTAAATTGTTCACTGGAATCCCTAATTTCATGACAACGCAATGTTTGCATGGTTCAGCAGCTGTTCATGCATGGTAGACACAGAACAGGTTAACAGCTTGTGAACTCTCTCTAGAAATAAAATTGAAATATAACATATCCTATAGATGGAATACATTTATTAAAAGAGTAATTTTATCCTTACGTGTGTTTGCTTTGAATCAAGCTCAGGAGAATTTAAAAATTAGAAAATGTTCTTTAAATCTATTTAAGGGGACAGCAAAGGCTAGGTTCAAAATTACACCTTTAAGGAATCAGTCCATATGTGTTATATTATTAAGCTGCAAAGAATAGGTTCACCAATCAACAATCATTAGATCATTTGCGATAGTTATAAAATGCATT